GTTTGCTAGAAAAGGGCGGATGCGTACTGTTGTGTGTCTGACGCTGCTGGTGTGCATTGCCCTTTAGTTGTAAATTAAACAACACGAAAGGAATTGTTTAACAAAAAAACCTGAGAAAGGCTATTTACAGTTTACCTCAAGCCAGATAGGAGACAGCAGCTGTAGAAGAAGGTGTAAGGTGCTACGTTGTGATATATATATATATGTGTGTATATATATATATATATATATATATATATAAATATATATATATATATATATATATATATATATATATATATATATATATATATATGTCTTTTTGGGGGTTTCATGTGACAGAATCTGAGAAAGTTACAAAATGAGACTTTAGTTTTACTAAAGTCTCAATTGGTCTAAATTTAGCTTCTCCTGTGACTCATTATTTTTAGATTTAAAGCAACTCAAATCCTGTTTTTTGTCAGTTGAAGACAAAATATATATACATACAGTGTATAAAAATATGTATGCTAAGCTCGTGCTCAGCATACATATTAAAAATTCAGTTTTGCTTTTATATGTTCTATAACTTAACTCTGCTGTAATCCAACATAACTCTGCTGTAATCCAACATCAAACCATGTTTGGTTCAAGTGAAGCAAACATCTAAACCATTCCAAAATATGGATTAGAAAACTTATTGTACTCCCTTTTCATTTGCATAGACAGAACCATGTTTTATTCATGCTGACATTGAAAAGGGGGACAATTTTGACAGTAGTTCAAAGCTGTTTTGAACCGCCATCTCATTACGGCTTGAACAAAGATAGACGAGTTTTGAGATGTGACGGAACTGGAAGATCTGAAACGGCATGAAATGCTCAGTAGCATGTTTGATCGCTAGCTTGCAACTTCATTATTTACTAATCTCCAACTAATACAACATGCGGTGCTTCGGTTTTATATTCTGCACATGTAGGTGTCGAGAAAATGATGGTTGATTTGATGAAATATGCAAATTGATCAAATTAACTTGTCTTTGGTGGTTCAGATGTGAATAAATGCAGACTTGGTTGTCACTTGTAGAGTTGCGTTTCATTAGGATTTCACTTTAACAGCTTTTTAAGACAAAAAATGATCAGGAGGAGAGAGGGTCAAGCTGTTGATCTTTCTTTGTATGTTAGTGTTTAGAAAGACACATTATATGCGTCTAAATATGAACAAGGACTTTGAAACATCCAATACTGTCACTGAAGTATGCACTGCTTGTGATGCACTTCTATTAAAAAATACTGCATGTATACTGGCATTAAGGATATGTAACTCATAATATTGAGCGCATTATTTTTCTATGATTTCAGTCTTGTTTTTCATCAAGGGTTGGGAAAGTTGAGAAAATAAAATTTATGGAGGGCTAAAAAGGGACAAAATTACACAAATAAATAGAATAAATACTTTTAATTTAATTAATTTAGTAGATTATTTATGATATTTGCCCATCAAAGATGAGGCGTGATCACATCGATGTGTTGAACTTTACTAGTCTAGATTCTTTGAAAACAGAGTGATTGTTGTCAAGTGTAATTTTGCATCTTCTCATCGACTTTTACTTCCAGAATCAAACCATGACACTTCTTCGACAGTGTTTTCTCATAGGATGGTGTGTTCAAGGTAGAAAATTCACAATTATGCACCTCGAATCCATATGAAACATTCAAAACTAGGGAATATAATTGTTTGTTCATCAGAGGCAGCTCAGTGTCAGTTGTCCTCAGGAAGTGATGATGCTCAGCTCCCATCATGGCACAAGCACTCGAACACGTTTCTGCATGCATGTGCATGAACACACACACTCACACTTAACACTTTGTGACATTAGAGCTTCCAGAAGCTCGCTCATCCACGCCGCTCCTCCTCATCACATCACGGCCTGCACCTATGAGTATGCATTAGATCGTCTGCATCACGTGTTCGTCACATACTGATGAAGCTGTTTATGCTGAAACACACGAGCTGGTTGGAAAGGGAACGCAAAACATTTCAGGGTAAACAGTCGTGCATTTGCATTCGGTTCACGATACATTCTGTTCATTGCATCCACTCTGTGCCCCTCCCATCCCGCCTCTCCCCCGGAGTCCTGATCACGTGCCCAGTGCTCCCATTCGCTCTGAAATCTCCATCGCAGAGCGACGAGCGAACGGGAAAAGCAGCAGAATTAATTCTCCTCCCCGCATTGGGCCCTCTGTCGCCCATCTAGCGGTCGGAGACGAGGTTTTATCCCGTCATAACTGCTCGCAGATTAATCTCAGCCCAGATCAGTGAGCCGGCACGCTGCTGGTCTGGGGTCAGCGGCGTTGGGCGGAGAAAACTGGTGCCTATAAATAGAAGCCGGGACCTGCAGGGTGGAGATTCTGGCTCATTTGACAAAGCTTTGTGTGGGACAGAGAAGAGAAGAGAAGGGAGATGGGTGCAGCATCAGTCAGAGATATTGGATGTCAGTCTTTATTTCATTTAATGGGCGGTTACAAAGAGATGAGTAAATTATAAAAGAGACAAAAAAAAGAAAGGAAGTAATGGAAAATTCAGTTAGCAGTAGGTGGGATTTGTTGTCACATGTAGAAAGGGGGTGATTATCTTTCAAAAGACGTGTCCAAAATAATCAAGTTTCTTTAATAACCAAACATGTTCACAAATAATAATTCACTAATATTTAAGCTGACTAGTTAAGTTTACTCAATAAGGACAAAAGCTGTGTTTCAATCATAAATGCACACAAAAAACACAAACAAAATCACACACAAAAAGGTTTGTTCACACAGTGAGTCACTAAAAATGCCATGCTGTGGTTCTCTAACTACTTCCTGTTGCGTTTTATGCCGGTGGTTATGCCCTGTTGTTGATCAAACAAAGTGTTTCTGTTGCAGTTTTGAGAAATAAACCAATTTTGATCTGGCCCAAAAAAACCTCCTCAGCCTACCACCAAAACCTTTTATCGGAACAGATTAGGTTTTGTTTCAGCCATTCTTTAAAATCTCTAAAATCTGCAAACATTTTTTTGTTGTTGTTGTTTTTGGGCTTTTGGGTTCCAAATCTGAGAACCAGGATGATGTTTTATATTTTGTGCTGAGCAGCCTCCATTAACATCTCCTCTTTTTGCGTCTCCTGTCCTTTAGAATCCTTTTACTCACAACTCACTAGAATATAAATAGGAAATAAGTGCTTCATAACAGATAAAGATCTCTGCACTAATTAGTTTCATTGCAGTAAAATGCACTGGCAAAATAGCAGAGAACTAAATGTTCTGGAGGTTGTGGGCTAGAATTTACAATACCTTGGGGAAACATTTCTGTCCTTTCAACTGTTTCAAACACAAACATTGTATTTTTGAGGGATTTTATGTGCTAGAACTCATAATAACTCTTAATTTGAAGTGAAACAAACATTTTACTTCAATTACTTCTGCAAGTCTTCCAGAGGATGTCTCAGCTTTTCAGACCTACATTAATATTATTATTTTCTCCATTTTTCTTTGTAAAGTAACTCAAGCTGGGGAGAGAGTGTGAACTGTTGTTTCTAACTAAACAACAGTTCTATGTAAATCTAGATTTTCGTCTAGATTTACATCGATCGACCATGTCGTTCAGTTTGTGGTTGTAGAGCGACAAAATTTGAAAAACAAAAATGCCCTCTCATGTTTGTGCCGTTGTTAGAATATTGAGCTCCACTGTTCATGTTCCTATTTGCAGTAAGTATGTCAGCATCTGTCTACTCTCCTTTACAGCTCCGGCTTGATTCTCACGTTTGTACTTGTGTGTGTATGTTTGTTTAGTCGTTCTATTTAGGACCATTTCTGACATATTTGCAACTCTTCTGAAGACTGCTGGACTGATTTGAATTAAGTTTTGGTTAAAGTTAGAGTTGGGAACGGACTAGTAACAGTTACGGTTATGGAAAATGTCTGGGTTTGTGTAAATGCAGTTCCTAAAATAAATGACTGTTAATACAAAGTCCTAATATGGGCAGAAATACAAATATTAATATCTGTCTTTGTTGTTGTTGTTTTCTGTGCATATTTAGTGTTTTGTGTTGTTAGCTTTAGCTGTCTCTCAGCTCATAAGACAACCATTTTTTAATAATGGCAATATTAATCAATGAAATTAAGATTAGAAATAGGTTTTAAATGCTTTATGGTCGCAATCATTTCAGAAGGGGAAATAAAATCTGAACTTAATGGTTAGTTTTCAAAATGGTGTAGGTTCAATTACACAGGTTACACAATTAGCTCCTGTGCCTCAGACATTGTGTATGTTATTTAAATTTAGACCAAACTGAACTTTTGACATCTGAGGAAAACTTCAGTGTTGTTAAAATGTCACTTTTTGAACCTTGAAACCACTGTCACGTTGGCACTTGATGTATATTTGCAGAGGAAGTGCAGAGCGGAGGCGGTGCATCACCAATAATCTTCCTAAGCGCAACACCAGCTGAGAATGGAACATATAAAACATTTCCAGTCAGTGTAATTGACTGTGAGAGACTTTTATTCCTTCCACCTCCATCTCCTGTAATATTAATTTAATAACATAAATAATTAGCTTTTCTGTAAACACACTCCCAAGGAAACGTTGCAAGAATTTAACTTGCACATCCTGTTTTTAAAGCGTCCGTCTACAACATGTCTATTCTGGTACTTCGAATATGACTCTTTCCATATCTTGGCTGCTTGTCTCTTGTTGCCGTGGCAACCGCTTTATGTGGCAGGTTGTCTGGGTGGGTTGGGCCGAGAGAGACAGACCGGTGGTTTTATATCTTTGTGTGTGTGTGTGTGTGTGTGTAGGTGGTTTTATGTAACCACCTTAAGCATCATTCGGAAAATGTTTCTTTTACTTGAATAAACTCTAAAGTAGTTTTTTTGGGGTTTTTTTTTTGGGAGAAGTGCTACACATCACGACATCCCGCATATAAACAATAACGCAGGAGGTGCTGCATTACTAATATGATTCAAATGCTGAGTAATAACTTAGAGTTTGTTTATCCTGTAGAGGACTGATGAGGAGGCGGTGTTGGACCGCGGGGGAACACGTTCGATGCTCAACACCAATTTTGAGAAGGAAGAACTTGAAGGTAATGACCTTATATGATGCTTATTGTCCTCAATATATTATTTGTTTGGTAATTATTATAAGTTGACTGAAAAATAACAACGAGCAAAAGTTTGAAATGATTTTGAACAAAAGAGTTATCCGGGACTTACAGGCTTTTCACAAGCGAATAGGAGAGGACAATTCTCATTTTAATAACTTTTTTTAATCATAAAGTGGAAAGTAAAAAAAGAGAGTGGGGAAAGTTTTGACCTCCTTACAGATTTCTTCCATTTTTTTCAGACCTTAAGACTTGAGCTTGTGACATTGAGTGTCTGCAAATGTGCTGTAATGAATGTTTTTGCTGCTAACGTAGCAGCTGATGTCAAAGTGTGCGCCGAAAATAAATCAGCATACAGCTGTCATAATTACTACTATGTGTCACTATTAGCTTAAAATAGGATCACTGTTGTATTTTGAACAACAGACTGATAAAAATCTATGAAGGAGCTTCTGTTTGTCTAGTTAAAGCCCTTCATAAATTGTTGTGAAAAAAAGTATTTGGTTCTTTTCTTGTGTGTTATTTTTTTTTCGTCACAGGGTTAAGATAACAAATTTTAATATCAAGTAAAGAAACTGAAGTCCACTGATGAATCATCCTGGTCTTATCTGCAGACTTCACTTCCCTCAGTTATAATTCAACATTAATGCCAAACAGCTTCACAGCACTGCATTAAATTATGAGTTATTCTTTTGTGTGTGAAAAGCATGAAGTGTTCTTTAAAACTTTTTGTTTGACAAAGCATAACAGATAATGTGACAAACATTATTAACACACTCAGAAATGTTCTCTATCTGAATGCTGAACGGTGCAGCCCCATGTTGTTTCCAGCACTCTGGTTGGGATGTTACAATGAAATCCAGCTCATGTAACAGATGATGCATCATGCTGTGTTTAGGAAAACATGGAGTAAAATAGGTTTCATTTATTCCTGTCCTGATTTTAAAAGTTCATAAATAGTTGTTGTTTTTTTTCTGTCCTGGATTAATTGGTTCTGAAAGCAAGAAAGCACTAAAAGTCTAAAATTTTGTCTTTGTTTCTACAAAGAATGAAGTTTTTATGAATTTCATTCAGGTTCGATTGATCAAACTTTTTCAGGCTGAGGACTAGTGATGTGTAATTTGTTTGATTTTCCGATATTTATTAATATTTAACCTATCGATTTTTCATCCACTAGTATCAATACATTAAATCCTATTTAGGTATTAAAATGCAGTTAGTTATCTTCAGGCTTTCATGAAAAAAAAAAGCTTGAATATGACCTTTGGTAAGCGAACTATAGCGCTGCACTTTGCATGTAAACAAATAAATGGTTGTTGCATCCAGTACCTCGCAGGCCACTAGGGGGCCCCCAGTGGACAGGAGACCACAGTTTGAGAAAGTCTGATCTAAATGTATTACATTTTAAAACTAAACTTTAAAAACCTGTAAAGCAGCCCTTTAGTTTAGCAACAACAGGAGACTATAAAGCAGAAAACGTTTGCGTCATTAGCAGCTAATGGTTTGCAAGTTGCAGAATCATCTTTCGCCATTTCTCTTCAGCTTTTTTTATGATAATTATTCAATTGAATTGAACTGAATCACTCCTTTAATCTTCGATATGAATATTCTTCAGATCCTTTAATTTGGCTGAGTTTCCACTAATTCCTTTGGCCGCCATACATTTCCAGATTTTTAATTAAAGGAATGTTGAAAACGCTGTACATTCATCTTAAGTGGCTGTAATCTCATCAAACCACAAACTACCGTGTAAACTGAAGCTGTGACGGACAAAAAGCTGTTTAGGTGAGGTGGGCAAAAAGGAAGAGACAAAAAAAGAAACATCATATGACATCAGCAGTTGGTCATGCCTGAGAGAGGCAAGCTATTTTTATAAAGCCCACCACACACACGAGTCCTGACTCACTCACGTACAAAACCCTCCCCTCACGTCTCCTTCCTCTACATCACTTCTGATCTGGATCATAACTACGTGGCTGGGAAAATTTGCTCCACATGCAGCAAATTTCCACCCTCTTCTTATTGCTTCCCACATACATAATTTATTGAGCGCTAAGAGCAGTTTGCTCTGGACAGGTCCATCTACTATGAGACATGCGCTGACAGCATCAAGCCTGTCCAAGTGACAAATATATTTTGACATAGTACATAATCTCGCTTAACCTCTATTCCTGCCTTCCTGTTGGTTTCTGGAGTCTCTTGCCGGTGTAACTGTGCTCAAGCAAGTAGAGATAGAGTTTATTAAACAAGTTTTTGAATTCATCATCATTTTGGGAGAATAGCTGCAAGTTTTTATAATTTATTCTTGTTTCAAACTCAAAAGGAAACCCCTTTGCTTTCTGAGCCAGTGATAAAACAAGAAGGTGAGGCAGCTTGTAAAATCTGGGTCAGGCAAACTCGAAACCTCTGCTTGCGGTGCTTTGCACGCAGTAATACCGTGTTACACCATCTCATCACTTATTTAACGCAAACTAAGCCACTCTTGCTGTTTGGCTGGAAATTATGAGACTCAAACGGTGATCAAATATCTTAACTAGCTAACCGTCATCAGTCGCTGCTCTCGAGCTTACACAGTGTATTTGGCTTTTCTGCATTTTATTACAGTTTAACCAGAGCTGCACTGATCTGATATTCATATCTTTATTGGTTCTAGATTGGATATTGAACTTTCTGAACCATTTCAAAGATGTATTGCAGTTTATTTTTACATGTTTGACCAAAGTAGTCAAGCTATTGCTATTATCAGTTTCAGTTTCTTTATTATTTATTTTCCATTGGCTGTCATACTGATAATTGCACTGAATGAACAAATTAAAGTTGCTTCATACTTGATCAAATGCTTGGTGTATTGTTGTGGTAAAGTTATCAAATAAATTTTTAATTCAGTACATTTGTCTGTCTTTAAAAAACAATAATTTTTTAAAGTCAATTCAGCTCCGTGATCCTGTATCAGGATGTTGAGTATCAGCTGATAGTGATATCGATTTCTGATGTTTAGTATCAGAAGTGAAAAAAGTGGCTCCCTTCCCTAAACCACAAATTTCACTGGATTTAATAGGGATTATATACAATAAACTGAAAAGTGGAACTAAAATGATGCATGTTTTTAAAATGACGTCTAAAAGTACCTCAAAGTATGGTGTAAAAAGTAAAGTTTAGTGCCCTTATTTTTGTCCAGACAACCTGGGGCCATCAGGAAAAAACAAATGGCCCCCGCAGCTCGACCGCAGTAAAAGAAGAGAGAGTCAGCTCAGATTCTCATCACGCTGACCCTGTGGATGCGAGCTCCTGTGTGCTTCCACACAGACATGAGAACGAGGCTGTAATCCTCACACTGCGACATGTCCTTTCAAAGTACAATGTTCATTATCTGTATCATACCAAAACGAAAATGACTCCAATTACGGTGGTAATCTTCAAAATCTATTTCATTCTCTTGAAAGGGGACAAGGGGCTTTCATTACCAGCACAGCAGGCCTGAAGGCAGCCGTTCCTTTAATTGAGGCTTCATGGCTGCTTGCTTGATGACATGGCATCTGTGGAAAGACATTACTACATTATTCAGAGCCTGTTTTTCTTTCTTTGCATCTTTTCTGTCACTCTTTTCTTCCGGCTTTAAGCTGTGAACGTGTCTTCATTTCTTTAAGTAGATTTTTTTTATTTGTGTCAGAATACTGGATTCATGCTCAGTGTCAAGTCTTGGGAATCCTGAGGCACAGAGAGATGAACAGCTTCAGGGTTTTACAGTACAAACGTATGAAAGATAAAACATTTAAAGTAATAAATAATATACCATGGAAGGCTTGTTTATTGTATAGTATAATATAAGCCTGTTGCATTAAGGGATCAGTCAATTATGTGGATGATAGATGAAAATAATCTTGATAATTTCCCTTCCGATAATTCTTAATCTGTTTTATTGATGGTTTTGGTTGTGTGTATTTTTTTATTCTTGTTTTAGTTATTATTTTTGGTTGTTATATTTTGCTTTGGATATTTAAGATACTGTCCAGTTCAAGTGCTCTACAAAAAATACGTTTTATTAGTTTTTGAGAGGGCAAACATGCATAATACTACTATTATCAATCATTTTTGGGACAATTTATCATCCAGCAAAATGTATCATCACAGTGGCACAAAGTATATCCAACAGTTTAGTTGATTCATGGGGATTTTGGACCCTCACTTATTCTTGTCCAAATTGACTTTGTTTCGTTGTTGTTTTTTTCCCCAGTGAAGCCAAATTCTGTTTGGCTGCTGAAAATTCACAAATTTTCCTGAGAAGTTATTCACTGTCATTGACATTGCAACAGATTGACAGCAATTTCACACGCTGAATATGGTTGAGAAGCATGACAGGCAACACATTGCTCCAGTTACAAATCGTGGCTGCCACAATCTGCAGATTTCGCCTTTCCATTAAGGAAAAGGCCAACAAAATGTGCACAATATTTGGACAATTTTTAGTCCAGAAATTACCTCTGACCTCTTTGTCCAATCCAAAAACAAATTGATATTCTACTTTCATTTTGAAGCTTAACTACAGAGTTAAAGGGGGGAAAAAGAAGCTATGGATCTAAGTCAAAATGTTGCAACTTCTGAGTTGGGCCATTTTGGTTTCAGGTCACCGCACTCTCTACATCGGAGTCCACGTCCCCTTGGGTCGGAGGTCACACCGTCGACACCGTCACCATGGACACAGACACAGGAAGAGGTCCAAGGAGAGGGACTCCACAGGGGAAGACGGTCGAGAATCACCCTCATATAGTAAGTGATAGTGACGTGTAGAGCTGAAGTTCAGAAAATGATTTGGCAGAGCTGGGAGCTAAAAGCTATTTAAATGGAAATCTTTATAATCTTTGTGTTCAAATAACCTATTCTGTCCTTGTAGCAAATTTCTATCAGTATGCTGTGCTTCTTTAGGCTAGCTTCTTTAGCTTTAGCTCTTTGAATGCTGTACCTCCAAAGAAATACTGGTGAAACTTTTTTTTCTTTGTTTTTCTTTCACTTTTTTTCCCCATCAACTTCTGCATAGACACTCCAGCTCAGAGGGTGCAGTTTCTTCTGGGAACAGAGGACGGCGACGAAGAGCACATCCCACACGCCCTGTTCACTGAGATGGACGAAATCTGCCTCAGGGAGGGCGAGGACGCCGAATGGAAAGAGACGGCTAGGTGAACTTCTCTTATCTGCGTTCTGTCTGAAAATTGGTGGAAAGAGATTTTTTTTAAGCGTTATTCAACTCTTTGAACTTGTTTCCAGGTGGCTGAAGTTTGAAGAGGATGTTGAAGACGGCGGCGAACGGTGGAGTAAGCCCTACGTGGCGACCCTGTCTCTGCACAGCCTGTTTGAGCTGCGGAGCTGCATCATGAACGGCATCGTGATGCTGGACATGCGGGCCAACTCCCTGGAGGAGATCGCAGGTCAACACCGCAGGCGGGCCAGGCGGTTTTGTCTCATTCCTCATCGCTCTTGAACTCTTTCAGATTTTGTCTGTCAATACGGCTGAAAAAACGCCTCAAAAATTTGATAAAAAAACTGGAATTTTATCAAAACTGCTTTGTTTCCATTAAGCAAAATTATTTTCCAAATTTCAATTCGCCCAATTTTATGCAGCTCTTGATCCCTCAGCACTAAGCTAAAAATACATTATTTCACACAAAATACCAACTAAATACTCCTGTTTTCCCCCATGCATTAACTCTTAATATAAGAATGATCTCACTTTTCAGTCAGAATGACCTAAATAAAATAAAAGCAGGAGACAACATGGAGCTGCCGGTGTGTTTTTGAGGTCAGTTAGGGGAGAGAATATTTATCTGTGCTGCTGCAGAAATGGCCTGAACAAAACCTGATCCGGCACAATTAAATCACTCACAGTGGGTCAGGTTTATTTTTGCTTTTTTTTCTTTGTTTGCTATATTTTGGGCATGATCAGCTTAGCGTCGCTGGCTGTCATGCTGAGGCAGAAGAAGCAGATTAATTACTGATCATAATTTATTTATTTTTCTCACGTAATGTGTGATTTTTATATGTCAGATATGGTTTTGGATCAGCACGAGGGGTCCGGCTCTCTGGGTCCGGATGCCCGGAAGAGGATCCGCGAGGCCCTGCTCAAGCAGCACCATCACCAAAACCACAAGAAGCTGGCCAACCGCATCCCCATTGTACGCTCCTTCGCTGACATTGGCAAGAAGCAGTCTGAGCCTCATTCCATGGACAAGAATGGTAAACACACACACACACAAGGTGCTGTCAATAGTCAAATACCTGTTTATTTCCTTTGTAGTTGTCCCACTTTACGCCACATATTTCTATTGTGTTCATTGCAAATTTTCTGCAAAAATGCTCAAAAACATTGGGTTTAAGTGACTGCTAACTCCCACCAGCAGGTGGCAGTACCTCTTACTTTTGCTACACTGTTGCCTCAAGCCTTACTTAAAGTCGAGTTGTATTACAAGATCGATGTGGCGAGTACCAAAAAGTCCGTAATATTTCTAAATTAACAACACAAAACCTGTGAAATCCTGCATAGGAAGCTATTTATTATTATTTTAATAGTTTGTTAATGGGATTTAACAATATGTTCTGGAAGATTCATAAAGTTTATTTGGCCCAAATGAAAATGAGCGTGGCTGGATTCAGGCCTGCTGGGCATCTTATTGCAGGGATTATTGGATTGACAAAACTCCCACTCACAACATGGCGGCAAAACTGATGCGTAAAATCCATCATGTGATTATGCAGCATGTTTTAAGTCCGCAATGTTCCTTAGGCCACTGATATCCACACTAAAGTGCTAGAAGTTTATTTTGATTTCACAAAAGACTCAAAACCTACTACAAGTTGTAAATCAATATTTATCAGACGGCTTAACAATAACATTAAAACATATAAATATTGGGCTTTCTCACTAGTTAAAGGCTGGAGATGATAAACAAATAGCTGATTCAAAACTGCATTACCGGCTCAGTGACCTTCATCTATTGGCAGCACTTTCACCTTTTTGGAAGAGGTGGACACAATCCTAATAAACACGGGATAAAGCTACTCACTGTAAACCTTTTTCATTCTATCAACAAGGACAATAATGTGATCATTGCTTCAGAAGAACAGGCTCAAGGATGCCTGACTAGGATGCAACCCTCCGCGTATCAGGAGCAAACTATTCCAAAACAAGCTGATAACATTGATTGGAGACGGAGCGACTGGTTCTCCTCCTCACTCCTCCCTCCCTCTCTGCTCCTCCACTCATTCACTGCATTTGCAAGATGCCTATGAAGAAATGTCTTCTCGACCAGAGTTTCTCAAGTTCACAGATGGAATGAATCACCAACACAAAACACGACATTACCTGTTTGGATCACTACAAGAAAATGTGCAAAAAACAGAAATATACAAAATACAGCGGTCCTAATTCAAACCTCAGACTGAAGAACGTTTGGCCTCCAAGTCGCTTAAACAAGCTCTGTTAAATACCAAATCTCTCTGTGCTAAAGCTCTATTAGTTAATGATTTCATCACTGAGCATAATATTGATATGTTTCTGACAGAAACATGGTTGAATGACATGTCAAACAAGCAACACACACCCAAGGACACACACTGGACCTGGTTATCAGTAATGGTGTGACTGATGTCTCTGTGACTGATGTCGCCCTGTCGGATCACTTCCTGTTATCGCTGAAAGTTCTTCATACTTTGACCCACTTGGACAAACAGCTACTATCACCAAAAGTTCTTTCACAGAAAACACAGCAGAAACATTTAATCAAATCTCCTCTTCTTTGCCCTTGAACTGTAATGATGTAGATAAGCTGGTAAATAATTTTCCGTTTAAAGTTTCAGAAACGTAATCAATTACGAATTGAATGATGGCACTTGACTTAATGTCATGTTTTGATTGTTGATTCTGTGTGCTCTAGAAATAATATTTGATTGTCTAGTTTTCACCAATAAAGATCCAGCAACAGCGAGGGCAAAATGTATCCACCTTCCAGAGGTTGCAACCGTAGCGTGCCGTTTCCCTGCGTCGTCTCTGTTTGGGAAAGCAGTTCTCGTGAAAGCCGATATTGTTTTCCTGCTCTCTGATAGGCCAAACGGTCTCACCGCAGTCCCAGCCGTCCAACGAGGCCAAACAGGACGTCAGCCGAGAAAACAGCGCCGTGGACTTCAGTAAGGTGAGCAGTCAGAACAACTACTGCTCTTCTTGTTTGTCTTTGGCCGGTGAGAACTGAACACATAACAAGCGCAGTGTGTTTAACCAGTCTGGGGTTACATGTGTGAAATGGTCACCAGCAGCTTCTCACAAAGGTAACCTGACTGGCGTCAAACGGCATCACACGGTGTTTTCTTTAGCCAGTTCAAATTCTCCTTTAATTCTTTGTTTACAGAGTGCCTTTTTTGATCATTTATCCAGCTTTCGGTCCAGAATTGATCCGTTTGCGTCTTGCTTTTGCAGATTGACCTCCATTTCATGAAGAAGATCCCTCCTGGAGCGGAGGCCTCCAATGTGCTGGTTGGGGAGCTGGAGTTCCTGGACCGCCCTGTGGTGGCTTTGGTCCGCTTGTCTCCTGCTGTGCTGCTCAACGGCCTCACCGAAGTTCCCATCACCACCAGGTGATCCAGGCGCCGTCTGAAAGTCCTGCAGTTTGGTTTCTCTTTTAGATTTTGCTTTTCATGTCAGATCTGAACGTGTTGCTTTCGTTGCACAGGTTCTTGTTCATCCTGCTGGGGCCTCTGGGTAAAGGTCCCCAGTACCATGAAATTGGGCGATCTATTGCTACACTGATGACTGATGAGGTGAGGCAACGGCAAAAACAAACTGAAATCTTTATAGGATGAAGAGTATTTATGTTTTATTATTCTCACAAAGCATTTTGTAGCAGACACAAACAGCAGCTTATAATCAATTTTATAGTTTATATATATATATTTATTTTAAGAATAAAGTTATAATACGACAAAGTAGTAATAATATGACTATAGAAAGTCAGAATTCTACCTGAATAAAGTCATGTTATGAGAATAAAGATACAAACATATGAGAATCACATATTACCAGAATAAAGTCATAATAAATTAGTATAAGATTATATACTAGGAGAATGAAATAATTATTTTATGAACATTCCTCCACAAAAAGATAAAATGAAGAATGTTGAGCATCTTGTGCCTTGGTATCAGTTTTACAAGTTATGAAATACTTCATCTTTTTATATCAGCATCCAGTTATTATCAGTCGAAGGGCTTTGAAATATTTGTGCCAACAAATGGATGTCGAATAAAGAATCTTGGACTGCATGATCCCGTCAGATCTTGATAACTCACTGGAAGCTTTGCTCTCATTAAAACAGATTTGTCTTGGTACTATATTCTCTATTGATATTATGACTTTATTCCCAGCAATATTGGGAAAAACAAATGGCACAGTTATATATATATTTTTTGATAATTCATCAGAGATGTGAATTTTTAGAGATCACACACTACATCGCCTGCTGTGATTCATCCGAAAGGTGTCCCACAGGAACGTGGCAGGACCCTGTGGAGTCCAGTCGAGTTCTTTGACACCACATTCATTTATTCATGCCTTCACGCGGACAGCTTTGCTCTCTGGTGGACAGTCGTCTTACAGGAAGGGTTCGTCCCAAACTTGTTGCCAAATTGTCTTGGTATGCTGCAGCATTAAGGATTATTTCACTGGAACGAAGAAGCCCAGTCCAAATCCTGGAGAACAGCCCCACGCCATAATCCCCTCTGCATCAAGCTTTACTCTTGACACAACACAGTCAGATAAGTGTCGTTCCCCTGGCAACTGCCAAACCCTGACGCCTTCATCCGATTGCCAGATGGAGAGGCGTGATTTAGCCCTCCACTCCGATCCTGTGCAGTGGCGGCGTGCTCCGCACCACTGCATCCAGTGCTTTGCATTGATTCTACTCGGTGATGCAGCCAGACTTCCATGGAAACCCATTACATGAACATTTCTATGTACTGTTAGTGTGCAAATAAAGTTTGGATGGTCTGAAGCTCTTAACTGCAGAAAGTTGGTGACCTCTATGCCGCCGAGGGATTTTGGGTGGCCTATTTGCTGTTGTGATCGCTGCCACTAACAGTTGATGATTGAACCTTTAATAGAGAGAAAAATTAGACCTATTGGACATCTAACGTCACTTGTCTGAGGAGAGTGACTCATTCTTTCACACCTGTAGCCATGAAAAGGATTGAAACACATCTATTCATAGATTTGGAGAGCGAGCCACTGCTTTCAGCAAACTAGTGTGAACATAATATAATTATTGTTAGTATTTTTTTGGGCTAAATGCTGCATCAATAACTATATTGTCCAACAACATATTAGTTCCTTTAAACTTTAAACACATTAAAGGTTATGAAATTAGCCATCATGATGTCTATCTAAAGCTTAAAAGTCTGGAATTATGTGTGGAGACATAAAGCTTGGATTTTGTTTTGACCAGGTCATATGTTATTGCGAAACTCATTTTCACATTAATGAAAATATATATTTAATGTCAAAAACACAGATTTTCCATGATGTCGCCTATAAGGCCAAGGACAGGAGTGACCTGGTGGCAGGCATTGACGAGTTTTTGGATCAGGTGACTGTGTTGCCCCCCGGCGAGTGGGACCCCTCCATCAGAATAGAGCCGCCGAAGAATGTTCCCTCTCAGGTAAATTCAAAATGTAGAGATTTTGGATTCTTCTTTTATTCTCTTGCATTCTGCTTTCAGGATGAAATTAATAGAATGGCCGAATTTAGCAACTACTTTGAACATCTCCTAATTGTCTGCTCTTTTCTGTAAGAGACCTTTTGAGACCTCTTTAAATTGCAGGACACTGAGCTTTTTTTTTTTTTAACTGCAGCCTTTATGTGTCCAGTTGAAATGCTCTGCTGTGGCTGTTTGTGTTTGTCACAGGACAAATTAGGCTGCACTTTAAAGCTGGCATATACCCAGCCTTTGATTGACAGTGATGTTCACTGCACAGGAAAAGCGAAAGATCCCCCCCGTTCCCAACGGAGTGACGGATCTTGGAGAGTCTGAGGAGCATGGAGGACATGGTGGCCCTGAGCTCCAGCGCACGGGGAGGTGAGGGCTGGAGATCAACGGAATAATTTAGCGTTTACACTCTGTCACTTCTTACAGCTATTCTCTGTGCCTGTCTTCCTGTCGCCTATTAGCTGCTTCACTGCTCCCAAACTGTTAATTTAGCTCATTTAGTGTGCAGACTATCCTATTGGGGGAATGTCATTCTTCACAGCTCAAAACAGAGATCTGTTGTTTTAGTATCACTTCATTGCATATTAGTCGCATTGATTAGACCATAAAGGAAAAACATTTCTTTTAGACAGATTTCAGAGTTGCAACATTTTTCTTCATGTTTTTGTTTTCAGTTGTCTTTGCATTTGATCCACACTCATCATTTGAAACTATTCAGACATAAAACCTTCAGAAGTAGATCTGATGTCATGTCAGTAAATGAGACATTGATCCATTTACTGCGACAGATTTTAAATGTTGGAATAAAACTTTTGTGCTTGAACATATTTTACTACTACGATTGAATCTTAAGCCCAAACTTGTCGGTCAGCCATTTCCTGCTCCCTCCATTGGTACCCCCACCTTTTCCGCCATCCTCTCTGGACTGACATAAGCATAGCAGTCCACCCAACGTTGCCACGGCAACCTACTCCGACGGTACCTTAGCAGGACTGACTGCACAGTTGTCGGAGGCAAACCCAGCATGGGGTCACTTTGTAACTCCAGCTTTGTTTACCGATGTTTAATTTGGTGAATCAACTGAAAGCGGAAGAGCTAGTGTTTGGCTATGACCACCTGCCATGCGCTAACATGTTTACCAGCCGCTTCCGCTCACCTGATAGAGCCAGAAATGGTAGAACCCATTGATCAAGACAGTTTGTAGTAACGGTATGTTGTGATGATCTGTAGCAGGAGAAGATAATGGATTTTTGCTGGTGTGTTGTTGATTAAACTCTAAAAAGGGGATGGATAGACTATTGGTACGTACTTTTTTCTAAAGTAGGGATTTTAGATGTGTTATACATTTACAGATTTCTATAAAGAGCCTAGAATAATTTATTTCACCATTAGTTGATTCATTTTAAGGGTGCAAACTATTTGCTGCTCTGGACATGAATAACATAAGTTTGTGAAAAATATTACAAGTTGCTTTATTGCTTTTGTAATCATATATATATATATATATATATAATTTTTTTGCTGTAATTTTTAGTCAGATTGTGATTTTACATAGGGTCACTACATCCAGGTGTATCATGTCAACACGGGTATTTTCATACAAAGAGGACAAGAAACGCACTGATTCATATTTTGTCTGTTTCAGTCTCGCAACTCCCCCACTCAGCTCCTGCAGACTAGCCAGTAGCAATTAGCAAACTGCTAGTGGAACTGCACATCAGCCAAACTCATTATAGGAGCTACTTCTTAGTGCAACTCTGGTAAAAACGTTGTTAAAGGGTTAATAGAAGAGCCATGTTGTGATGACTTCCTGAAGCCGGAGTTTCTTAAAGAGACAGAGGCCCAATTCCAAAGCAACAAATTACAAAGTCAAATTGCCTTTAAGTGATATTTGATATATGTAGCAATTTAAATGGTACTATGTGCCTGGAAAATGCATAATACTATCCCTTTAACATGGCTGTGTTATTGCAGGATATTTGGTGGGATGATCTTGGACATCAAGCGAAAAGCCCCTCACTACCTTTCAGACTACACAGACGCCATCAGCCTGCAGTGTCTGGCCTCCTTCCTCTTCCTGTACTGCGCCTGCATGTCACCTGTTATTACCTTCGGAGGACTCCTGGGCGAGGCCACAGAGGGCCGCGTGGTAAGTTTCCACTGAAAAGACTATCAATGATCAGAGATTTAAATCTACAGTGTCTGCAGTTACCATAAGCAGACATCATTCATTTATTTATATTTTACAAAATATAACCATTTTCATTGACAAATCAATGATTCAATATCTTCATGTTTTTGTATAATTTGTGAAAATAAATACAAGTTTTACTTCTTTTAGAAGGTATATTATGTAGAAAATGACAATACGGCGACAAAGTCATAGCACGTTCAGAAAGCTGAGTGGAAGGAAAATATTTGCTAGGAAAAGGTGCATCAGCAAAAATATTCTTTTTATTGATCTCATGTATCAGTCAACTTTTCAGTAGATGATGGACAACTCACTATCTTTATTGACTGGAAGTCATAATCGTCATATTGACAAGAAATAAAGGATTTAAATATTTCAATCTATTTAATGAGTTTCGCTTCTGAAATGATAATATTCACCAAAAAAAAAAAGATTTGCTGTCCTTAACATGTTTGTTTGTGCTATGTATTAAAAAGCAACAAGCCCTTCAAACCTCTAAGGGCTTGTTAATCAGAACTCTGGTTACGGTTCTTCCAGAGTGCCATTGAGTCTCTGTTTGGGGCGTCAATGACTGGGATAGCCTACTCTCTGTTTGCCGGTCAGCCCCTCACCATCCTGGGCAGCACTGGGCCTGTTCTCGTCTTTGAGAAAATCCTCTTCAAGTTTTGCAAGTAGGCTTCTTTTTCTTCCTCTTTGTTTCTGTCCTTATTTCTTTCTTCCTTCCTTTACTTCATTTGGTAAAATACTGTATGTTAGTTTCTGCCAGTTTGATTCTTGTGTGTGTGCCTCAGGGAATATGGCCTCTCCTACCTCTCCCTGAGGACCTGCATTGGGCTGTGGACGGCCTTCTTCTGCCTGCTGCTGGTGGCCACAGATGCCAGCTCGCTTGTCTGTTACATCACGCGCTTCACCGAAGAGGCTTTCGCCGCACTAATCTGCATCATCTTCATCTACGAGGCCCTGGAGAAGCTGATTCACCTGGGGGTGCACTATCCCATCAACAAACACAACGACCTGCAGAAGCTCACCCAGTACTGGCAAGTGTCTCTGTCCTGCAGGTTGCAAAGCAGAAACCACATGATCCCAGCAATCTTCAGTTCTAAATCATTACAAAGAGATTACATATGTAATCTGCAGAGTGTACTAAGTTCAGCATTTTTGGCCAAAACATGCTAAAGTACCACAGCTATGTCTTGGTTCATTGGTGAAGGACACAGTTTATGGTTGAAGCGTTACTTGTAAACGGCGATTACAATGTAAGAAAATGACTTTTTAAAGCGTACTGATTTTTTTAAATCTCAAACAGGTGTAGCTGTGTTGAGCCCAGGGACCCGAGCAATGAGACCCTGCGATTTTGGGATGAGAGGAACATCACAGTCTCCCAGGTCAACTGGACCTCACTGGAGGTCAAGGTAAAGAACCCATTTATTTGTACAGGAATGTTTCCACTGAGCCAAATATTTTTTCACATCCCTGTAAATCGTTTTCCTCAACGACTGTCTGCCTCGTCTCTTTGCCCTTTGATTATTACCACATCCATCATCGTCTCCATTCACACCGGGGCCAGTAGGAGTGTGAGATGCTACATGGGGAGTTTCAGGGGCCCGCCTGTGGCCACCATGGCCCGTACATCCCAGACGTCCTCTTCTGGTGCGTGGTGCTCTTCTTCACCACAGTCTTTATGTCGGCCTTCCTAAAGGAGTTCAAGTTCAGCCGCTACTTCCCTACCAAGGTACTCAAACTGACACTAATTTTATATGTTTTGTTATTTTAGTTTCAGTCTCTGTGGCTTAGAGAGCATGTTGGATTTATTTGCGATGCCTATGCTAGTATTGTATATCAATGGAGAAATCTGATACTACTCCATTTTTGTTTACATTTGGTGAAAAAAGGAAGTTACGCTGGTCTTCTTCTGAGGTTTTGTGTTGTTTCCTTCAGTAGTTCTTGGTCAGAGAAACCACAGGCGAGGAGGGGAACAGGTTTTTCAATTAGTTTAGATCGTTTGAAACAGTGCAGTGACTGTGAATCGCACCAGCTGAAAAAATAACATATTCTGCTATTTTGCTCCCTAATCAAATCGAGTTTACTGGTGTAAAACACCCACTATACAGTCTAAGGTCTTACATCCGCAAAAGAAGAGTATCTGATGGCCAGATCTTTAAGAAATGTGTAAAAAGCAGAAATTTCAACTCATCATTTAATATATTCTATTGGTTTAACATGTTGTTTGATGAGATTTCAGAGCAGAATGCTCGTAACGCAGCAGAGAAGGGCTGCTTTGGGAATTTTATCTGAAGATAATAACATTTGGGGATCCTCTGGGCTCTATTTCGAGCCACTTTTATTATCTTTTTCCTCCTCAACCTTAAATTAAGTTTAAGTTCACATGTAGTTTGTTACTTAGTAAAAGTACAGTTTAAATGATATTATAAAGGCTTATTACACATGCTAGCTCTTCAACTGCAGTGAACCAGCTTTCAGTGTCTTTGGCTTGGTACCAAAAGGGTACCAAGCCCTTTTGGAAAATGAAATCAGCCTTGTCAGCAGAAAGGAGCACAGATTTCAGAAAACCCAGTACCAGATGGACCAGAACCAGCAGATGACATCAAATCATCCTCTGGACTAGAAGCAGAATGGATTCTCCACTCTTTCTCTTCAGTCTTGGACATTGGTTTAAAATGCAAACTTTACTTCCATCTGGAAAGTAAAGTTTACTAAATATTCTCACCATAATTTCAAAATATCTATTCTTTGTTCACACAAAGGGCCTTTTTAAGGACCTGCAAGCTGCAGAATGAAACCAACTTCACTTATTAATAATCCTCCATTTAGTTTTGAAATCTGCATAAGTGATAATACAGAAACTGCATCATGAGCATATACTGCCATCTACTGGCTGTTTGGGAGCACAGCGAGAGCGATGCAGTCTGTGTGGCCATTCTATGCAAAGTTTCTATGGGTTGTCATTGAGATGACACACAGCAGTGTGGGGTGATGTTGGCTCACTCCAGCGTGTCGTCTGAACGCCACCTTGTGGCGATGAATATTACTTTGCAATAACTTCTAAGCATCCTATACATTTATGCCGCAACATCGGAGTTTCTTGAATGTCGCTGTTTTGATTTAAAAGAACTCTTCTTTTTCTTGCTCTTTATTTTTTGCGGCAGCTTTTTTGTTTGTTTTACTAGAAAATACAGAAGTTGAATCATTTTCAAGAACACCAGTGCTATACTATTAATAGTTAAAAATCAGTGGAACGAAGCAGATGGAATGAAGACATTATTAAATAGTTTTGGTTTTTTTTTTCTTAATTTTCAGCTGAGAACTGCGATGGCATATTATGACCGTTGTAAAGATTTTTGTAGAAAATCTCTCAAAATTAAAAAAAAAATGTTGGAAAGTTACTCATTGTTTTTCCATATACGACGGCCCTGATACACCGTGATACACAATGCATGGGCAACCTGAATAAATACTCTTTTTGAAGGTGTTCTTGAATTGTACTCTTTTTCCATATTCCAGTTTGAATTCATCATGGTCTTTGTCTAAAGGATATGTATGTATATCTTTGTTCTGTCCAGGTGAGGGCTGTCATCAGCGACTTTGCAGTCTTTATCACTATCCTCACTATGGTCCTTGTTGATTATGCCATAGGAATCCCATCGCCTAAATTACAAGTCCCCAACAAGTTCAAAGTAAGTCCCCATGACAGCCTTGTGTGTGAAATTCTGCACCTGTGTTTGCAGTAAAGTAGAAGATTTTGATCGGCAAAAACACAAAATCTCACTATGATCTTTGTCCACTTTCAAGTGCAAATATCTCAGTACACTTTAAACTGGACAAAATTAACTTTACCTTTCGGCAAGATATGAGAGCTTGTTTTAAGTAAATGATAATTCCTTAATATTGATTGTGGAAAATGTCTTGTTGTAAGTGAAACAATCTGACAATTGTTAAAAAGAAACCAGATTTTATCACTAAACTATATTTTGAAGTATTATACATGCAAATTCCACCAAAAAATAATAATCTAAATCCTGTTTTAAATGTTTTATTTGAACATTTATGTATAAAATCTTTAGATATCTCATCACTTAAGAAAAATGTCCTATTTTACTCCTGGAAGCCAACGAGAGACGATCGGGGCTGGATTATAAACCCGGTAGGACCCAACCCGTGGTGGACCACCATCGTCACCTTTATTCCCGCTCTGCTCTGCACCATCCTCATCTTCATGGACCAGCAGATCACAGCAGTTATTATCAACAGGAAGGAGCACAAGCTGAAGGTTTGCACCAGCTCATTTCTCTTTGCCGTGCGACGCCTCATCAGCGCTGAAGTCTGTCCCTGTCGGCCCCTGCAGAAAGGCTGCGGCTACCACCTGGACCTGTTCGTGGTGGGGGTGATGCTGGGCGTTTGCTCGGTGATGGGCCTGCCGTGGTTCGTGGCGGCCACCGTGCTCTCCATCTCCCACGTGAACAGCCTGAAGCTGGAGTCGGAGTGCTCGGCTCCTGGAGAGCAGCCCAAGTTCCTGGGCATCCGCGAGCAGCGCTTCACCGGCCTCATGATCTTCACCCTCATGGGCTGCTCCGTCTTCATGACCTCCATGCTAAAAGTATTTACCGTACTCGGCTCACGTCAAAAAGCATTCAAAAATGCTAGTAGAGTTGCACAGAAACCGGTTTTTAAAGAATTAAATTTTACCCGTTAAATTCAGTCCAGTAATCTGGACTGAATTTTAAAGTCACCAGGATCTCCTCACATACTTTAAAAGTCTTTAAATGTCAGAAATTCATTGGAAAATAATGACAACTTGAGATAAAAAAAAAATCATGATCTGACATAAACTTGTTAGGAAAGTATTACAGATTGAAACAAAACCATAACTAAATTAGCATAGCTCTAAGTTTTGCGATCCTGACCCTGACCTTTCTGCTGGTCTCTTCTCAGTTCATCCCTATGCCGGTCCTCTACGGCGTCTTTCTCTACATGGGAGCATCTTCCCTCAGAGGCATTCAGGTGAGCATGCACAGAGTCCAGCAAGAGCCAGAGCTAACCCACAAAACACTCATTTATAAATCTCGCTTGTATCCTCAAAGTTCTTCGATCGCTTGAAGCTGTTCGGCATGCCAGCCAAACATCAGCCCGACTTCATCTACCTTCGACATGTGCCGCTGAGGAAGGTCCACCTCTTCACCATCATCCAGCTCAGCTGCTTAGTCCTGCTGTGGGTCATCAAGACCTCCAGGGCGGCCATTGTTTTCCCCATGATGGTAACCTGACTGTGTCTGTTGCTTGTGCCATCTTCGCTTGCCTGGTATCTTCATCTGGCTGTTTCTCCAGGTCTTGGCGCTGGTGTTTATTCGTAAGTTGCTGGATTTTATCTTCACCAAGAGAGAACTGAGCTGGCTGGATGATCTGATGCCGGAGTGGAAGAAGAAGAAGCTGGAGGACGCAGCACAAGAGGTGCAGTAGAGGAGCGCAGTCTCAGATGTTGGATGCCTTACAGTTTGCTGCAGGTTTTCTCTGTTTTGTCTCTTCCTGCAGGAGGAACACAGTATTATCGCAGAGGAGGAAGGGATCGTTCAAGTCCCACTAGAGGGGCACTACAGGTGAGTGTTTTCCACCTTTAGTTTAGCTTTGAGTGTTGATATTCTATTAGAATATGAAACAAAAAAGCAAACAAGTTCTATTTCTTAAGACTGAAACACCTTTCTTCCCTCTGCTGTGTTTGAAGGGGTGACCCAGCCACGGTGAACATCACCGACGAAATGTCTAAAGGATCTTTTGGGAACATGTGGAAGGGCGTCAGTCCTGCCGAGAGCACAAAAAAGGAACTGGGATCGAAAAGGTACGCTGATAATTCCCAACGCTTCATGGGTAACGTACTACATAAGTACTTCTGCTGTTGATGCAAAATCTGAAAGTTTTTCTTCTGGAAAGGCCTCCATATTAAGTGGCAGGTGTTTATGACTGAACTGCTACTTTTCCAGTGAAGAAAAGAAAAGAAAAGAAAGATCTGCATTGCAGAGCAGCTGTGCCCTTGCAGATTTCCCGCTGCATAGACTAACATAGTTTGTCCTGCCTGCTTCTCTCGCTCCATCATGCCCCTAAGCTCCCCTTCCTAACCTCTCAGAAGCTGATACCCCGAAGGTAAGCTGTTCCCAACAGTCCCTGTCGCCGTGCAGAGTCTCACTTTGTGTTGCATGCTGGAACCGACCGTCTGTAGCACGGGTGTCTGACTCCAGTCCTCCAGAGCCATGTTACTGCTTCAACAAACCTGAATTAAAATTTTTGGTACATTAGCAGAACTCAACCGCATCCTGAAGAGGCGACTCAGTCATTTGACTCAGATGTGTTGAACTAGGGAGACAAATAAAAGCTGCAGGACTGAAATTTGACACCCCTGCTATAATGTCTTGATTTGGTTAACTCTATGATATGAAGTGACTATCGCCGCCGTTGAACCGTTCATGTCGTCAGGTTGTGCATGTTCGTTTAAGATTTTAAATGCATTGATAAAAATCTTCACGGTCCTTGCACATTTTGTTGTGTTACAACCACATCAAGTTGTAGCAGCGATCTGTAACTTTTATAACTTGTTTCGAATTGCGAATGTTAAAATTATTGTTTTTCCTAAGTGTTTGTACGACGATTGCCGTTGTAACGTAATAAAGTTTAATCTGTACGAATGAAACCAAAAGGCAACATTAGCTCTTTGTTAATGAAAAGAAACATAATATCCAGTCAGACATATTTGCATGTTTTGTTGCATGTCTCCTAACAATCATCCCATCATCCTGAGTTTCCATTTGCTTTAAACTTTTTTTCGTTTCCTTTTTCTTCCCCTGAAGTTGCGCCAGAAGCGGTGAAAAGCGACACAAGCGGAGGAGGCATAACAAGAGCCTGGACAGGGAGACGAGTTTGTGAGGACACATGTTGGTGACGCCACTGTGCCGTCAATCAGTAAATACAAATAAAAGAAAAATAGAGAGAGAAAAAAAAACAAAGCAAATATACCGTGCCACACTCAACCACCTATGTACTGTGCTACACTGTGTTTTTAGTCATGTAAGTCTGTGTGCAAGTTCAGAAGAAAGAAGTATTTGTTGGAAACCATAAGCAACATAAGAAAACTCACTGAGTTAGACACCAAGTTAGGCAAACAAGGAAGAACCAACTCTGGACTTAATTTGATCCGCATTCAGACCAGTAACGGGTATAGGAATGATCAATCAGTGAAAGGCTAGCATGTTGCAGAGAGTGTATATGACAATATCTGTTGAAACTAAGCTGTCAAGCACTTTAACAGTCTATCATCTGCTGAAGGAGCCTTTGGTATCTGTAAGACATTGCTCCACTATTGGTTGCTCTTCTTATTCCCCTCAGTAGCTGCCGTTTTGTCACAAACGTGTGCAAAACTTTACCAACATTCCGCTAATGTGAAAAATGTTGCCATTGTGGCGTTTCCATTGTATCTTTCGGCATTCCCGAAAGATACATATATTGCTGCATTGGCTTTGAATGATGCCCAGAAGAAATCTTTTGTATTTGTAGGGAAATTGCAAACAATCTGGACACTTTAGCAGTGATTCCAAACTGGGAATGATATCGAATCAAAACATAGGCATTGCTTGAAAATCAATAGGATTTGCTACGTTAGATGTCAAATGATCCGAATAAATAGATAGAAATAGAAACTAACTACTGTGTATTTTTCTGCATTTTGTACTTTCAACCTCCAAATGAGGCTGTCCAGCACTGTTTGTGTGAAATATTTTGTCACAAATGCAAACACCCCCCCGACTTTTTCTACCACAACTTTCACCAAGTTTTATACGGAACGGATTTTGATCCCGCTCAGAATTCCAACTTTTAGGAACCTTTGATACAGTTTTCCAGTTAAAACGTTTCAAAACCAAAGTACGTCATCAAACTGCAACCACTGGATAAAGATTTTTTTTTCTTTTTAAGGTCCTTTTGTGATAATCTGTTAAAATTGCTGACATGGTTCTAGTTATAAAACGTTTAAAACCTCTGTTCTACCATTTTAATCCTTCTTAGTCTGCATGCGGATCAAATTACATCCAAATCGGACCGTTCCCGTCTTGGTGCCTAACTTGGTGCGGACCATTAAGTGTAATGGTGATACAGAACCAGCAACAGAGTGAAGCCAGAATTATGACTCCAACAATATCTTAGTCCATAGGCCAATTCCTGACAGATTACAAATGATTTTTAACATTTTCTTTCTTTGTATTTTGTATGTTTTTTTATATTTTTTCCAAAAAAATAAAATAAAAACAACTGCAAGTTGTCTCTTTAAAACACCTGCCACAGCAAGTGCAATGGATTTCATGTGGAGCAATGAATGCTGCAGCAGTATTTCGCACCTTAGAATAGCATGGTAATAGAATGGTCTCCTCCAACTCACACCAACCTAAGAGCGCTGGCTATGTAACTTTCTGAAAGTCAACATTTTCTATATACTACAATGTAAATCTAAATGTCTACGTGTCAGTGGCTGTGTTCACCTTTGATGTTGCACATATAAATGTTTCTCCTTCAGTCGAGTTTTTCCTCGGTTTACTTCCTGAGAAATGTCCATTTTAGCCTTCTTACTAAGAATGAACTGAGAAGATTGATTCCTCTGATTGGTCAATTCCCCCTTCACCAATTCATACCTGCACATTTTGTAGCCATGAAAGACAAGGTAATTTTTTTGTCAAATTATAGAAATTAACAATTCAATAAATGCTCAATCTTATGTAGATCTTAATTTATCAATTTAAAAATCTTTTTTTTTTATGGTACCCTATTTTTGTTTCTTTAGTTGACTTCCTAAAAACCTGATAACTCGAAATAACCTTGTGCTGACAGGCTTAAGACCATATATTTTCTCATAGGTAGCAGACTGTAAATCACAGATACTGTCTTTAAATTGTCAAAGTTGATGTGGTCTGAGAAATTTCTCAGTTCTACGTGAGAAACGACAAAAACGACAAACTGAAATGGAGAAAAGTGAACACAAAACTAAGGTTCGCAACAGGTTTCTAATGATGGCTCAGTTTAAGAGGAGCTAATATGTCCAAAAAGTATGAATTGACAAAGGTAAAAAAATGACCTGCCCCCCTCTAACGTCATTGCAAAAACCTGAAGCTAAAGTTACTGGGAGGTTGACTTGGTTGACAAAGACTGAAAATGTGGAAACTGTTTATCTGGTCTGACTCAAGTGTAGCACCTAATGCTGATATGTACTTTATATCATTTCTGATTTATCCCACAAATTTTAGACTTCAACAAAACGAGCATCAAAATCAATTCACTGACGAAATGTAAGAACCATATCAGTTTTTCAAATTACTCTTCCAAATCAAGAAAGTCAAAGTTCTCGTTTCCCTGCTGCTGTCGGCGCAAAACATTTCCACTTCATATCGGAAAAAGCTGGGGAATAAATATTCAAAACTACAACACGGCAGAATTAACATGAAGCTAAAGCCAGTGGCGAGTTGACTAGGCAGGCGAGGCTAATCGCAAAGATTGTAAATGACCGCGATAAATCAAAGAAGCACTTTATGCCTTGTTTGACTCCAGAAACGTCACACAATGTACTGTGTGCAAAACTGGTATTAAATTGGTCCTTGCAAGTATTTGCATACATTTATTCAATATATACAAGAGTCTGTGTGAATGGTTTCATGGAAAACTTTTCCTACCCCCACCCCAAAAAAAATCAGGTGTGAAATGTTTAAAACTATTAGCGACAAAATGGTGAGCAGGTGCTGGCAATTGCCTCACGTCATTAAACACAAAGCTAAAGTTACACGTTTTGCATGGTGAAACGCAAAAATTGTAAATAGTGAAACCCTTTTGTCTTTTCTCGAAAGTAGCTGCAGTGCTACGAAAAAGTATTGGACCATTACAGATGTAGTCTCTTTTTTTTTAAAAGTTTTTTGTCAATCTCTAATGTCAAATTTTAATAATTTCATTTAATAGGCAAAAAAGTTATCCAAATTTTCAAAATTTTGATTTACCGCAGTTTTTCTGGAAACACCCACAAGGATAGATGATGCAAAATGTGATAAAAAGTATAAATAGAAGAGATGTGAACGTGGAAAACTACTTTTTCATAGCACTGTCAAAGGCCTAAAGCTGACAAGCACTTTACGTCTTCGTTGTTTCATTTTAAAAAGCTCATACAATGTAATTTGTAAAAAAAAAAAGGAACAAAAAATCTTAATCTCCTTGCTCGCATTAGCATTTCATTTTATGAAGAAATACCAGAGCCATATCAGTCTTTTCAATTTACTCTTCCAAAGTAAGAAAGTGAATGAGCTTATTTCCCAGTTATTTCTTTTTAGTGCACTTTTGTTTTTTCTGGGACAGCTTAAATAAAAATGATATTTTCAAGCTTGCATGGCAGCGTAGTTCGGTAACATGTAACTTTAGCGAACATTAGCTATCTTTTTGCTTAAGAATATCAGAGAGAAACTTTAATGCTTAACTTTTGGGCAATTGTACAAACAGCTCAGTGTTTTCCAGCATACTCTTCATCATCTTGTCAGTCAGTGTCATCTATGAACATGTGATCTCCTCGGAAACTGACTTTGTGTGTATTAGCATCCAAAGCTCATTGTTTTTAAAAGGAAAAATAATTAAGAAATCCTGCATGATGGTGAAATTATATCACTGCAGGATCATGGGTTCCTCTAGAGATGCAATAATCCTGTTCTTTTCTTCTGGTAAGGGCAAAATGTAAATGGTAAAGAGTCTTAACACTGTATAATATATAGAATATTTTATGTGTAAAATGTTACTAATATATTACTAATAAGAAATGTGTCGAATTCAGATTTTTGTTTATCTTTCCTCTACCCCCCCAATGTCCAACCGATGGTTCTTAGCTGATTAGAGAAACCAATGGTGGGTCAAAATGAAATCAAAATCAGATATTTTGACCACTTCTGTGTGGAATTCTGCCTTAAATTTGGTATTATTAGACGGGCACTTTTTGTTTTAGTGACTTAAGTCACCTTTATGGAGAACTATAAGTTCAGATCTGTTGTGCAGTTGTAATTAGTTTCATGAGAATGAGAGAGTGTGTGCAAGACAACATAAATAAAGATATAAAACAGCTGAAATTGTTTGTGTTTTGCTTTACAATTATATGTATGTATGTATATTTTTTTATTTTAAAGGTAGTTTGTCTCAATACACTTGACAAAACCCCAACTGCAGTATGGGATATTGACAGAGCTGTATTAGATAATCAGAATGCTTAGATTGAACCACATGGACCTTGAACATTGATTATTGCTGCTTTGCACAGTTTTAGTCTCATATCTGGCGCAATTGTGAAATTTCCGTCACAATAAAATAACATTTTAACCAGGGGTTGTACTCTAAACAAAGGAGGTAGAGATGAAATAAATGACAAGGTTTATTTGGCAGAGTAAAATATTCATTTGCTATGACAATCATGTGCTTTCCATAGGACTTCCTGAGACAAAACTTTTGGTGTTCTTGTTTGCAACTTAGAAATATAGCAAATAATTGTCATTTGTGGACAATTTCATGCCCTGAATTTTATTTCTTCCCTTGTGCACCTTTTGTCTGTGGAAGAATAGCATTTATTTGTATCTTTGCAACACATTCAAAGTAAAGTAAAAAATATTAACATGCAAAGCGGTATGGCTTCCTGTTCCTCTGAAATATGGCTTTAAGTGGGGCCTGAAAAGACTCTCATTGTTTGTCTTGCCGTTTGTTGCTGCAAAAGACAAAAGTCACAGTCACGTTTATTACGACTAATGGGAGAAAAAACAACAACCAAGCATTAGCATTTGCGCAGTCAGCCGTGTGGACTTTGCATTACCTTTCCCCTGAAGGTTTAGAGGTCATGACCCACAGTAAGTATTCCTTGGCAGCCATGGAGTCCAGCACCTTGTTCACATCGCTGGTGAAGCTTCCATCGACATGCCTCCTGCTGATCGTTTGAGCCAGGCTGTCCATTTCCGATCTATGTTCACAAGGACACAATGTAAACAATGTCCATTAAGGGTCAGCGACCCTCTAATGTTTGGCCTGAAAGCCAGCAGATGTTGCTATAGCTGTTGCTGTAATCGGGTCATGCTAGCTTCACTGTCTGCATGTGTGTTTTGTGATTCATTGCACCGGGTGCCAATAGACATATCAAATCAACACAGTAGAAAGGTTCATTGATTTATTTTAGCACAACGTGAAGAAGAAAGGAAAGGGAAAAAAAACATAGGACAATGGATGAAGGGCAACACAAAGCAGATGATTAGTTCAAGATCACTCTGGTTCCTGTGATGGGTTCATGGTGGAAGCAAACAGCCAGGCGGTTTTTGGAGGCTTTGGAACTGAAAGACGGAGGATTGGCCTACTCTCTTTGGATCTGTCCAGACTTGAGCTGGGCAACGAAGTCTTTGATTGCTTGGTCCTTGAGGTAGGAGCTGACGTCGCTGGTGAAGGTCCCGTCTGCATGGCGCTTATCGGCGCTGCAGTAAAACAGAACATTACCCGATGAAGAAAGGCAGACAATTCAAAACTTTCTCAAATGGCTTTTTTTAAATATATATAAATGTAAATCCTATACCAACCCGCTCCTCTTGTTACTCATCAACCACCGGACAAAGTCTTGGGCCTTCCTGTCCTCCAGGTATTTGCTGTAGTCATTGGAAAACGTTCCCTCTGAGTGTCTCTTGATGTTTGACAGCTCCTGGGGTCCGCTGGCTAATCTGTTGTCGTCCTCAAAACTGCAAAAGACACAAGGCACGGAAACAGATAATCTCAACTCATTCCCAAAAATAGTTTGTGCAAGTTTTTAAACGGTGGAGCTTTCTTCAAAAACGTCCTAGTTCAAGATTTTTGAAGTGAAGTTCTGTGAAAAACTTGTGAGCCATTAATATAGATAGCAAGAAATGTAGTGGAAGTTGTTGGCTGCCGTCTTGAAGCCGGGGTTTTGGCATTTTTTGTGGTTTTTGCATTTTTAAGCTGTATTTTAAATCTATAAAGTAATAAAAGAATAATAATTTCAATGAAAAGTACAGTAAAATAAATTGTAAAACAGTATAAATTCAATATTATTCTCTTTTTTGACTAAAAATGTTTTTATTTTGCTCAATTATAAATGATGTCATGAATTTTCATCAGAGCCAAATTCTATCTTCAAATAAATTTTTACTTAATTTTTTTAACCAGCATTTTAAAAATATTAATGCAAATAAATTCAGGCAGTATGAGGTCAAACCGCTTTACTGGGCACTTATTGAAAAAGAAACAGTTGAGTAGTTGCTACAGGAAATGGAGTTTGGAGGCTGTGCGCCACTGAGAATCCTCCTGTGGGAGACATACTGTGAACAGAACACCGAAAGTGTTTTATGGTATTTAAAAGTAAATATCTGTCAAAAAAAAGGAAAATTGGGAAAACCATTTCTTGTTTTTTACAGTCTTATTGTCTGATGATAAGGATTTTACAGGATTCATTCTCAGAGTCTCACCAGATGATGATTTGTGAAATACCACTTCCTACTTAAATTTCCATTTGATTTCAGTTGTGTTAAATTTTACTGCCATTAGCCACTTTTATGGATTATATGCTGGATTTAAAAAAATTTTTTTAGATGATACAAGTCTGCTTTGGACTTGGTGCCCTCGGACTAGCCATTAGCTCCACCAATCCTGGATGTGCACTGAATAAAGACTCCAAGACTGATATCTACAGCAAGTAAAGTGTTTACCTGCTCACAACTTTTAAGCTCAACACTGGTCTAAAAACTCTAATCAAGTTTACAGTGACAGTACATCCTCCAGTCTTAGTGCGACGCTCAGGAGGAGCGAGGTGGATGTCGCGGTCGGACAGCGGGGAGGTCGGGGTCAGTGCGACCCCGCCAGGCTGTGGAAGGGTTAAACAGTGTTGCATGTTAAAAACAAAGCAACCATTGTTTTGTATGTTGATTTTTTTTTTCTCATAGGATTTTCTGGGAAACATTTTTTTATTCACGCTCGACCGTTTATTTGTTGTAAAGCTATTTTGTTAACGTGCTCTGATATCTTAAAGTATTTGTGTTTAGATGTACAGTCTGTATAAATCCTACCTCCAAACTCTTGTATATCACAGACTGGAGTCTTTTGAGATAAATTGTGCTAAACCTGGAGAGCTTTACCTCGAGCTGTCCTCAGTGCCAAGTAGAGGAACCTGCCAGCTGACTTGCACGAAGCCCAGGACCAAAAGGACGCCGGCCAAGCAGTGGATGCTTCTCATGGTTCCAAGCTGCGACATGAAACAAGGCATAAACAAGACCAGTTCATCAGCTGAAGGTAAGGTGGTGAAAAGGCGAGAAGATTCAACTCACCTTGTGTTGTTTCCTTCCAAACAGTGCTGTTAGATCCTCTGCTTGGTGCTCCTGTGTAATCACCTGCTTCTCCCTTCCAGCTTTATATACTAGAAGAGGAAGTCCCATGTCCCACTTTACGGTCCCATTACTCTCGACCCATTAGACACTGGACCCCTCTGTGACGGGTAAGTAAACGAGCCGTGCGTTTGTTCATTTGAAAGGTGCAGGTGGAAAGGCGCAGTTCATGCGTGATGCCTGCTTGTACTTAGGTGTTAAGATCAAACAACTGCTGCTCATCCTGCCAAATAGACAGTCAGAGAGATGCTCTAATGCGCTACTGTGTCATCACGATGGGAAGCAGTACGTGTGACGGTGTATTTGGACAGTGAGTCAGTATTTGAGGCTTCTCGCCAATCAGACGCAGAGAATTGGAAATATTGATCATTTTTTACCTCAGCGGCAGTTTGAGTTTTACGACCAGAGCGCTCGGTAATGTTCAGGAAACGTCTCCGCTGCTTTTTCTTTTCTTTTAGCTAGGTTGAAATGCAAGCTGGAATAAACTATTTATTGCGGTATGATGTGGCCCAATAAATATTTATAATATTTATAAAGTTATGATCAGATTCATTACAATTTCTACGTTTTGTCTGAAACCAGAACATCTCAAGGTACAAAAGCCAAAAAGATGCTACTTATCATGAATTGTTTTGTTCCTGCATGTTGGCAAAGCCATCCAGTCCGTGGAATCATATAAACAGCAATCTGTGAACTTATTTCAGAAACATTTTGACTCGCTTTTCATCAGATGTATGGAGCTAATTCAAGGTAAAACAACTTAACATATTTAACATACAAATTTAACAGAATGCAACATTTTATTTCCAAGTGAAACACTTACATGAATATTTTCAGATGTCTTTGAGTGTTTCTCAGGTCATTGTGCATCCGCTATAAGCAAACGGCAATGTAAAACCAGCTGCTTCTAGCAATGTTATTACACTCACAGTATGATAACCTTAAGCAAAAATATGACAAATCGTAGTATTTATACATAAATTATAGCAAAAATATATATAACATGGTCAGTGTGCATATTTATTTTTGTTCTCTACTTTCATTTGGTAAATACATTTTGGTAAAGAAGTGCTAAAGAAGAAGATATGATAATTTAATACAGCTTTTATTACAACAATATCTTATGCAGTTGAGCAAATGAAAACATACATAATCTCATTCAAAGCATTTTTTCAGGAATTTAGTCATGTGAACGTAGACATGCATGTTGGCAAAGCCATCCAGTCCGTGATCCTTGTCTGTGTACCACTGAAAGGAAAACATAAAAAAAGAACTTAAAGAACATATTTGGCAGCTTTGTTTGCTAAATAATGATTTGGATCTTAAGACATATTCACCATAGCATCAAAGTCCACCCGCTCATTCACCAAGGCTTCTGAGATCTCAGCAGCCTGCTGGAAGTGGACATTATCTAGAAAAAATACCAAACATAAAAATTAGGCTAGTACGTTTCAAAATATTCTATATTTGTTTTTGCAATATAATCGTTTTTGCATGTTTTTTATGACATCCGGGACGAACATGAACATTTTCGTGGCCAAGTTGCAAAACGTTTGGACACCTATGGGTAGGAACTCACCGTCGGCTGTTCCGTGAACCAGAAGGTACTGGACTGAACGGAAATTCTTGGCTCTGGCCATTACTGTCGAGTTCTAAACACAGCCAGATTTATGGTTAGGTGATGAGATAACGGATGCGATGACTGATAACGGATAGCGAAGCTTACATTGTATCCGTCAGGGTTCTCTGAGGGCTGCATCATGTAGCGCTCTGTGTAGATGGTGTCTGGAACAAACAGATCAATGCAGATCTTGTAAAGTCCCGATATTACGGTGCCCCGAAATAGGACGACTATCAAGACCAATTAAAATACCATAATATTCCCATTTGGACACCGGCGCCACTGCCATCCCACATTTGAAAACACCGCTGTTAGAGCCCAAGACCATTGAAGACACATATCCACCATAGGACTGTGGAAGATAATTCATCTCATTACATCAGCACTATAAAACACACTTACGTCAAAGTGGAACATTAACTTATTTTTAGAGCCACGACTTGGCCTTTGTACTCTAAAATATTACACATCAACAGCTCCAATCCTATTCTTACACAGTCAATATTTGCTTTCTAAGTCTTAACTACTTACCCATCCCCATATAGCAATCCTATCTTTATCAATGAACCCCATTTTGATGAACTCCCTTTAGAGAAAGGATGACAAAAGGTAGTTAGTTTGTGAAATTTATGAGAACTGCATTGCACTATGACAAAATGTATTTTTATGGAGACTTTTCGGGCCAGGTGAGATGTTTGCGTGAGATTCTCTTACTTTGCCGCCGTTATCTGGTCTTCTACCTCGGAGGTTCCTAGGCGTTTGTAGATTTCGAACATCAGCTCGTCACCCTGGTAACCGCTTCCTCTTCCGTCAAAGCTGGCAACGATGACTTTCTCAGTGCTGGCCAGGAAGGTAGACCAGCCTACTCTGTACCTGAAGTCTACTTTCTGGCTGCAAGGACCTGCATACCTGGAACGGTGTGCAGATTTGTTATTATATTGTTTTTTTGTGAGTTAAGTTTCTACATATTTTTGTTATTTATTTAATGCAGTGGATCCTTACACATCAATTAGCAAAGGGTACTTCTTGGATTCATCAAAGCCTGGGGGTAAATACATCTGATACCAAAGGTCTGTGAATAAAAAGAAATTAATTTTTTTCATTGGCCATATAAATTGACAATTGGTTCTCAGAATTCTGAGGCTAAAGTTAGATTTTTTTCCCCCCAATGGCTCTAATAGAGACAATTTACAGAGACCAAATAAATGCTAAGTTTACAACTTCTTTGAGCAGTACTGCTGCTGGATCAGTAGTCCAGGCACAGAAGAACACCACTGTATTGCCGGGGGAGCTGGAATTGAACCCATTTCTTTCGCCTTGCAAGACTCGACAGCTACAAAAGGAAGTATGTGATAAATGTCTACCAGTTGCAGGTTCGTTTACTTACTATATTTGCCAATCTTAAGGGTCCCTCGGCGCATGGTGGGCATCTGGATGTTGGCTATTGCATCGCTAAATACCTTGTTGTCCTCCAAAACCTTGATCTCTAGTAATAAGAGCAAGTAAATATATGTTGTCTGTCCTTTCATGTCATTTAAAGATAATTCATCTAAACTGTTGCTTACTTTTAAAAGTTCTAGTTTCCACAAGAAAGTACTGTGGAATTCTGGGACCTTAAAACAAACAAAAAAATAATTCAGTGTCATTGTGATAAAAATCTACATAGAGTGGCAACTTTTTCCAAAAGTCAGATGAGGTATAACTGACCGTGGCAGCTGAAGCGGTAGTAAGAAGCATTGTGGCTGAAGTAGACGGAGTTATATTCACATTCTTTTTGAAGAATGCAGGTGAGACACTTATAGCTCAGCTTTTTCGTCCACCTGGCGTCCAAACATACAACATGCAAATGTTAAGTTTTCCTTATGGAAATGATACTTCCTACAAGAGGGAAGTTCAAATTCTTACTGGTAGACGTTTCTCCCTCCTGGCTTGTGGTTGTGTTCGTTGCTCGAATAATACCTGAGGAAGAAATGGAATCCAGGAAGAAGTTGTCACTGCGTGGTTTTCTGAATGTGGAATTAGTTTTTAGAGGAATCAGTACTGCTGGAAATAGAGTAAAGTAGCGGAGAACAAAGACATTTCAATTCTAGATGTTTTCTAAGGATTTCAATATATTCAACACAGATGTGCAGCCCAACAATTTAGACCTTTTCCTAAGAGGAGAATTATATAAAAGTCACATTCAGAGGGACTACTGTATATTTAAAACCCTGAGAAAACTTACACACTGTCTTCACTGACTTTCAGAATAGCAAGATCTTCCCAGAATCCCGGTGAGATGACTGTTGCCTTTCCCTGGATGACGAGCCAGAGCAGAATGAGTGTTGACAAGACATTGTGCAAGATTTTTTTTTTTTTTTTTTTTTTTAATATCATTCCACTCACCCCAACCACATGATGAATGTGCTTGTACATTGACACATCACTCTTGATCAGGTAGTAACTGTTCCCGTCAGGCGCAAAAACTGGCTCTGGTGGAGAAAACTAGAAGAAAACATTAAAAATATGTAGTCTGACGTAAATGTTTACAATATAGTCATAATTGGAAACATTTAAACATAGATCATTTACATTGACCCAACAGCGGACTTGTGCAATATCAGATAAGTTTTCTATGTTTTAAATGACCAGCAGTGCCTGACACTGCAGGTCATGATGGTCTCATCGTGGAATTTGTAGATTAGAGAAAAACGATTAACGTTTTACCAAAGGGAGTTAACTTACCCATCCAATCCAGCCCGGACTGTCCAGCTCCAGATTCTGTAATAAGATAACAGTGAGTTTATGGCTGTCATAAGTCACGTTTCATCAAAACGCACGAACCTTTATCTCAGCAGCTCAAAGCCGAGATACGCCTCAAAACGGAAAAGAATTTAGGAAAAATGTTTCCAGATGTTGTACACTTTGTTGGAAGTAGGGCTCTACTAACAAGCAAACAACTTTTAGGCAGGTATTAAATCTACTTTTATATTTAGCCCAAATTTCTGGGGGGTTTTTTCCAAGAAATTTTTTCAAGTTTTTTTTTAATTGATCTTATGTAGCATTCTAAATTTAAATGTCGCGTTTTCACCAGCTGTTAGCAGAAATTGTCATGATCAGCATCCATCTTTGTCTAAATTCAGTTCAATTCAAAATCAATTTCTCGATCCCAAAGGGAAAATGAATGTTGTTGTAACTCATTTGATTAAAGAGTTACTGTAAATCTCAGGTTTGATGTTTATTTTGGGATAATAAAGTGGTTGATTAGCTAATTTAAATACCTGATAAACTGATGATCTGTCAGAGAGTGAGTGGGTTTTTTTTTCCACAGAACTGAAAAACCAAATTCCGCTGCACATATTAAATTTTTTCATTAAAACCTTTCACTGACCTGTGAAACCTTGGATATTTATCCCAGAATAAGTGGGATAAAGTTTCGTCTTTCATGGGCCATCATGTTTTATGG